AAAAATACAACACAGTTGAAATTTTCAAACCAACAGGTTCTGTTGGTTTGTTTCAATAACTAGACGACAGGGTGGCCCGAAAGCAAGTAGGCGGAAGAGAACAAATAGAAGGGAAGAAAAGCGAAGTAACAGAAGATGAATGAGCACTAAAGAAATGAAGAGATGATATATGATGATTCAAAACATTAAGATGAAACAAAATGAGATGATGATGAGATGACACAATATATAATATATATATATATATCTATATATATATACATTATGATTATGATACTATTATCACGTTATTACCAAATCTATTAATGTATATTCTGTTGCACTGTACTTCGGAGCCCAAACGGTAATCCCGGTCGATTCTTTTTTATCCAGCGCCGGTCGAGCTCAAACGCTAGTCCCGGTAGTAAGAGCCGCCGAAGTGTGCGAAATCGCACGTCCCAACCTGGCATCAGGACAACCAATGCTCATACAAATGCAACACTTGAAAAACAAAACAAATTACCCACAGTTCAACTCATGTTGTTTTGTCGGTTATCAGATATAGTTGCACACCCAGTCGGAACAGGATCGACTTCGAACAACTCTCGGTCGTGGATCTCGTGCCTTGTGGAGTCTCTGCACGTTCAGCTGGAACAAGGGTCGACTTCGGACAACTTCCGGTCGTGGACCCAGGTCCTTCTAATCAGTTTGGTCACGACACTTTGCAATAGCCAATTCACAGCTTTTCGCCGATACTTGTAACTTCGTGGCTGGTGACTATATGTGGCATCGACATGCCGGCCTCCTGGAATTCCATTTCGTGGTGTCCACTTTCATTTGGTCCCACTTGTTGCCGCTCAACCTGTTCAAAAGACTCAATGTCTCTGGAAACGAAACTGGTCTTTCAGGTCAAATCACAACAAGCAAAGAATATCATTCAAGTCCAACGATCGAACAAAAAAAAGATGTCTATAGAGCTCTGTTTGCACAATTTTATCGGTTATCAGGTATATTCGCGCACCCAGTCGGAACAGGATCGACTTCGAACAACTCTCGGTCGTGGATCCCGTTCCTCATGGGGTCTCTGCACATTCAGTCGGAACAAGGGCCGACTTCGAACAACTTCCGGTCGTGGACCCAGGTCCTTCTAGCCAGTTTGGCCACGAATTCACAGCTTTTTGTCGACACTTTGGTCACGACGTTTCAAATTCCCAACGCCAGGCATGCTTGTGATGCTCCAAGGATCGCAGTGCATACAAGACATATGCTCGTCGCTTCCACGGTCTCAGGCTTGGACGCTGCTGGAGCACACAGTCAATGGCATCCTCGTCACTGAGATCCCACCAGATCACCAGCCAGGCGCAAAGCGCGGCGGTACTGCGATTGATGCCTCCAAAGCAATGAAACAAAGGCGTAAACCTGATGTCGTGGTTCCAGTAGTAGGAGGCCACATCCCAAAGAACATGCATCAAATCTTTCCAGAAAGCTAAACATTCACCGGCAGACTGACGATGCTTCGCCAGCTCTGTATTTGGGTCTTTGACTGTGGGATCCTCGATGAACCACCAGATATGAGCGACGCCACAACGTTCAAAATAGGTGGGCAAATCTGACGGCGCGCCGCGCACCTGGATCTCGTTCCCACACAGGGTCACGACATGGGAGATCTTTGTCGTGTACTCCACCTCCACCGCTTCAATGTTGACAGCCGCTTTGACACTACCGAGGAAGATGGTATCCCCTCCCAAGGTAATGCAGCTGGCATCCAGTGGCCAGGCAGTGATATCTCCAAAATTGTAGTCATGACTGTGTGTCTTCCAGTCCAGCGGCTTCCATGGCAGGCGAGAGTATGCCGTTTGAATTTTCCGTTCACATGCATTTACCCAGCTCCGAACCTCGGAATTCCACGGTAGGAGGTCTGTCATGACGCAAAGCAGGGAATGGACGATCTAATAATTCGTCTTCAAAGCTGCGGATAACTTGCAACCATGAGAGCAATGCCGTCCCTGCGATGGCACAGCGTGTGTCCAGACAGCATCGCCACATACATAACTATCTATACGACTTAAATATCACAACAGTCATGGAGGCACAAGCAATTCCAGCCACAAAGACAAGTACAAAACACGACGACAAAACTTGCATGCATGAGTTCCACGACAATCTGTGTTTTGACGCAACCCCACCTCGCCCACAGGCATCATGCAGGCTCCAGCAAGGCATTTGAGTACATCGATCAGCCTGGCAAGCCTCAGAGCAGTTGGATAGCACAAAGACAAGATGCATACATTACAGTCTGCATATCCATGTCCGAGGGAAGTAAAGACACTTACTTCGGATGGGTTTCGGACAACTCCCGGTCACGCATCCAGCTTCTATTTCCCGGTCACGCATCCGCTGTCTGTTTCGAACACTACTAGATGGAGGGCTTATAGACAAACAGTCATGTACGAAGAACAACGGCATGGATATGCAGTCAAAACAACCAGCTACGCTACACGCAACCGTTCCAAGCATAGTCACCGATGGATGGACTTCGAACAACTTTCGGTCGTGCATCCATTCTACGGTGTTGGTCATCGATAGCGGCTGCTGGCATCACTCACAAAGTCTTTCAAGGAGCAGCCCATGCGCCCGACATTCTCTTCAACGGTGTTGGAGTCACCAAGTCGTCCGCTGGCCGCTTCTTCGAAACCGTGTGGATCTGGGTTCCCTCTGACCAGTGCCCAATGGCATCGCGCTCTTGGTCCAAAACCTGGGCTTGTTCACTGGTGCATGGAAAAGCCCTTTCTGCCAACAGAGTGACCTGTCCTTCCTTGCCGTCCCGCGTCAAGCGACCGACGAGTAGTCGAGGCTCCAGGTTGCCCATGTTGAAGATGTGACATTCTGCAATGCTGCAGACAGCTTCCACTCGGAACTTGCTACCATTGGGGTATGGGGTGACCTCCTCATGCACCATCAAGACATGCTGGTTTTCGCCCTGTCCAATCGGCTGGGGTGTCGGTTCGCTCCAAGCCTTTGCCACAATGCTGACATAGCTCGGATGAATTGGGGCATCGTTGACGATGATGCCCAAGCTGGAGTAACTCACATCTTGGTAGACGCACTTGATGGGATAAACACAGTTCACCAGCTGCTGCTGTCCGTGACTGAGAATTTTCCGCAGCGAGGGTCGCTCATCATCCTTGAAGCCCACGGCAAAGCACGGCTTGGCAGCTAAGACTTGAAACTGACTCTCCGCAGCAAAGACCGTCTGCGTTTCTGTGTCTTGCGTTCCAAGTGCCGCGCCCTTATCCCTGCGACTCTTTGTCATGTATGGGGCCGTCCCTAAACGGACATCCACGGGTTGACGAAAACAAAGAAATTGCACCCCATGCCTTTCCAACATTTTCACCAGCTTGGCCTTCTCCTCCAGTTTGATGTTGGTCATGACGCACAGAGCTTCCTCATCGGCCAAAACCTTCTCCACGCAACCGGTTGGGTCGCTCAGATTCAGAGTCGCCAGGACCTTGACTTCCGATGCAGGGGTGGACGCGCACCCAGTGCTCTTCTTCTTGCACTCACCACTCTCTGGATCGATCTTGGTGTGACACTCACTACAAGGAGTATAGACTGGCCACCCGGTCACTTCCGTCACCCAGACATTCTGCAACACCACTTCGATGGACTCCTTGATGCACGCAAGGACAGATGCCCTTCAGTCCGGGAAAGACACTGGGTAGATGCGTGTATATTTATATTTAAGCCGGAAAAGATCAAGTTTCCTCTCATGAGCCTAGATTATACACAGATGTATATACATCGGTACATAGAGTACACGGAGGCAAACGGACAACCGCATATTTCTGCCAAGGAACGTTTTGGAAGGCGTCCGTCAGAGCCAGCGAACACGTGTTCACAGTAGCCGCGCAACTCACAATTTTTGGACTCCCATCAGTGGTCAATCTGACGGTGCCCACTCCTGCCCAGGGCGTCGAGATCTGCTGGCCACGATCCGGGGACAGTAGCTTCAATACCTCTGCCCGGTCACTTTTCGGATCCACCATCATTCTGGCAAACTGGTGTCTGTCGTTTTCCAGCCAATCTTGGCAACTGGCCTCCACCGAGCCATCTTCTTTCTTGGATAGCAGGCAGTTTTCCAGCTGCAGTACCATACCCACCTCGACGTTGTCCCGCACCTCCGCGGTGTATTTGGGACCCCACAGGTTCACCAACAGCTCCATTTCCGATTCATCCTTCATCCAAACCTCGGCTTTGGACACTGTCTTGGTTTGTGGAATGTTCTTGGACATCACCAAGCCAATGAGATCCGCTCGTTGGTAATCCCTGCAATGTTGTTTGAGGGTAGCCAGATCGGACTGTGGTGTCGGCACTACTTTCGCCATGTCCATTGCGGTCTGGTGGGACTCAGCCATAGGATGGACTTTGACCTTCGAAGCTCTGTTGCTCATGTCGGCGCAGAAGCCGCCCAAGAACTTGTTGTTCTGACTGAGTAGCAAACCTTGCACGACCACAAACTTATTCTCACAGCACATCTTGGCTTGCTTTTCCAGGTCAGCCTTGCCTTTGTAACTTCGAAATTCAAGATAAACGCCGTTGGCCTTCTTGTCCACCATGCGGACAATGCACTTCCACAGCGGACTCTTCCCTGGTGCTGTGATGTCTTTAGTCATGTGATACACACGACGTAAGACCACCTTCATTTGGTCGCAGTTGCTGCTGCTCAACCTGTCCAAAGTTGTTTCCAAAGCACTTTCCGCCATGGCGTCGCCAATTTGGATCGTCTGTGGGATTCGAACAACTCTCGGTCTCGCACAGATAGAGCCCAAACACTTGCCAACATTCGAAAGGAAACAAGATGAAATTAGCCTTTCACGTGAAAGGATAACAATGGAAGTCCACAAGCAAAGCGACACGACACAAGCGCGGTAACATCTACGCGTCACCGTTTTCCAGTCGCAAATGTAACATCTCTCTACCCAATCGACGGGATTCGGACAACTTCCGGTCTCGCGTCGTTCAGCGGATCTAACTGTACATCAAAGAGGTGGCTCCCGCAGATACCGGCGATTTGGTTCGGTAGTCCGAGCAAATTCAATGATCTTAGCTAACTCACAAAGCAAAAATTCCATTTCCGTGTGGGTGGATGCCAGTAATTCTTTTCCAGCCTTGATCAATTGCATTTGCATCGATCTCTTCTTCGGTGACACCTGCAATGCTTCCAAGCGAGTCACCTCCTCCTGTAGCATTCGCCGTAAGCGTTTCACGCTGACGGTGCTGTTCTCAAAACCGCGCACCAAATCCCCTGTCGTGCTTGCGTGACTGTTGTAGTTCTTCACTTCCCCGGCGATCAAGTTGCCTCCAGCCAATGCTCCTTCGCCCATCAACGTTCCAGCGCTCTGCACCCAAGCCGGGAGACCATGCCATCCACCGGGTTGCGTAGCTCTGTCGATGAAATAGCGTTCCAGGTATGCAAATGCATTTCGACCTAGCAGTGGGCTCAAGCCTGTTCCGAACTTCATCGCCAGAGATCTCCTGGAAGCGGTTGCTCCACCTCTACCACCCTTTAGTCCACCGTCCAACTTCTTCAATCCGATCTGCCTGACCTTTTTCAAGAGGTCTTTTGAGCAACTGATCTATGTATAAAGTCGATGGTACCTACGTAAGATACGTTTGTTTCATGAGCTCCATTGATCGCACGGTTGAATTGGCTGTGCTGGCGAGATTCGCACAACTCGCGGTCTCGCGCCAACGCCACTGATCTATGTATAAAGATACGTTTGGTTCATGAACCCTACCGACCACACGGATCGGATTCTGCCGACCGTCGATCGAGAATAAGCGAGTCCACTTGCCTTCGAGCCATACGACACAAAGGTCAATGATGCTGATCATGTTAAAAGCTGTCACCGTCATGATGATGCCAACAAAGGAAAAAACTCAAGCAGCTGTAACAACAAATCTGATGCTGATCATGCTAAAGCCGTCACCGTCATGCCGATGCAAACGACGGAAAAAATCCAATCAGCTACAATAACACATCGAGTCAGCTGGGTCTATTTCAAGCCAAGTATACAAATACAACACAACCTGAAACACATGTAACTCTCATGCCGTGAAAGAAAATATGACATGACATCAAATATGAAAATATGATGTGCCATGAGATGATGATCTCACGATACGCCCGTGATATGCTATTGTGATCATGAGCTAACGACGAGGTCGATGACGATTGCAATGACGTAGCTGCTGGTAATGATGATGATGATGATGGTGCTGACGACGATGATGATGATAATGATGATGATGATGATGTGGATGATAAGGATGATGATGATGATGATGCTGATGATGATGATGATGATGAAGGTGATGATGATGATGATGATGATGATGATGGTGCATGTCGCCAGGCACGGTTTACACCACACGTTGTTTACGCCAGACGAAGTAACCATGGAAAAGTTTACACCAGACAAAGCCGACAAAAGTTTACACCAGAGAAGAGTTTACACCAGACATCGATTACACCAGACACCGTCTATACACCAGACACGGTTTACACCAGACGTCGTTTACACCAGACAAGGCCAACAAAGGTTTACACCAGAAAGAGTTTACAGCAGAGACAGTTTACACC